TGCCACCAGGACAAGTCCAGGGCCCTCCCCCAACCCAGCAGTGCTGGATGGAGTCCCCAGCAGGCAGCCTGGCACAGCACAGGTTCTCCCAGCCACAGCCACTGGCCAGGAGAGTAAGGTACCTGCTCCAATGCTCAGACTTACCTGGGCTTTGCCCAGTAAGATGGAGGTGGAGGGAAAATATTTTTTTCCACAATCTTGATAGAATAACAAACTCTATGTACATGCATCTATGATATTCCAAGGAAGGGTGTTTCTCAGAAAAGGTTTAACAGATGATACAAGGTGACTTCAAAAATTCATGTAAAACAGAATGAAAAGATAAGCTTATTATGGTGGGAAAAGGGCTTCAAAAATTCATGCATAATATTTTTATAATATGCATTTCCCATGTACCGTTTGAAGATCCCGCAGATAGAAGTTCATGGTGAGGAGTCTCTTCTTACATTCCTAGATGGAGCTTCCAAGATGTTTCCTGGAGCTGTGACTGCGTTCTGAGGTGACCTGGCCACAGTGGCCTCTTCAATAGCTTTGTGCCAAGGAAGAATGAACTCACTGCTGTTTGTCCTCACTTTTCACTGTGAATGGCGAGACTGAGCTCTCATGCTGTCTGGCTGAGCTGAGGTTCTACACAAGGAAACAAAACCAGCAAGCAATGTATGTGTCTGGCAATCCAGTGATCGTCAGGGCCCTGTGTGAGTGTGGAAGCTTGGCTGGACCACACTGGGCAGGAGAGGCTGTGAGCTGGAGACACAGCAGAGGGGCCACACAGGTTCTGTCAGCAGCACCCCTTCTTCTGGGAAATTCAGTCAGTTCTCTTCTCAGGTCTTTGGCTACTTTTATGAGATCCGTCCATTTTAGGGACGGCAGTGTGCTTTCTGCCAATGCTAATCTCACTTTCAAAATAGCTCCAGGAAACCTGTTAGCATCTATAATAACATGCAGCCAAATCTCTTCATTCAGTTCATTCTGTAGATCAGATCACTTTTCAGGGCAGTGATTGTAGGTTTAGGTAAAGAATTCCTGGGGTTAGTTTAAGATGAAGAAATGTTGGAAGCCAATGTAACACAAGGAGAGAATTAAATTGTGTACCCAAAAGCCTAATGTAGGCAGCAAGGTAAATTCTAATTAAGGAGTTATTGTGCCTGCAGAACAAATGAACACTGGGGACAAAGAAAAGGAGCTCAGGAACTCACGGAAGGTTTTGAGAGCTTGACAGAGGAGGCACTCAAGGACTGAACAGGAATTCACTTACTAATTATGACAATCTGATCACTTCATTTTCCCTAAAACTGAAATTATGTCAAAGCAACCAAAAACAGCTGACTTAAGGACCAGTTGTTGGTGTCTCTGAGTGAGAAGATTTTATTTTTGATGGTGCTTACATAGTTGATTAGGGTGGGAAAGGGATAGGATTAGGGAAAAGTGAATGAGACCAATGTTCCAAATTTTATTTTCTTCCTGTGTCTGGGGAAAGGGGGAAGAGATGGGAAGAAGCCACCCCAGTCTCCCAGCTGCCTCAGTACCCAAGGATGGCAGACAGCCACTCAATGTCATCCCAGGGTCCCCATTGTGGAGCATACTGTGAGGGTTCTGCTTAGGTGGTTTCGATTGTCCTGAAATGCTGTTGATCTCAGCACTCCACGGATGAGGAAGTCCTTCCATGGTCCATCGGCTAACATAGTCCACCTTTGAGTCTCTATTTGCCTAGGAATTTGCTGTCAATGCTTGACTGGAGGAGCTGACCAATTTGTTCTGTCCTCCTTCCTCTGTGGGCTCTAATGGACTGCCATATCGTTCATGTGCATCTAAGCATGCTGTCCATTACTTCAAGTAAGCCATTTAGAAGGCCCAGTTCTGACACATGCTCTCCGTCGTCAGACCACAAATCCTGTGGTTGTTTACATGGTTGGAGTTCTGAATCTAGTGATTCAGATGGAGGAATGTCGAAAGGAAATTTGTCTGAAGTGATCCCAGACCTGATGCATGTGTGCTTGTGGCAGGCGAGTGCAACAGTGGGAGTTGCAAGCCCCTCAGAGAGGTGCCCACCGTTTTCCCACCTCCAGTCCTGGATCTTGCACCCTCCAGGTGTTTCTGCAGTCTAGCTTGACAGGATATCCCAGTCCCAGGACTTGCCAGCTAAGGCCTAGAAAAGCCAACCATCTTGTACTTACTCTGGCTCATGAATTCATCAGAGGGTATAGTTGATTAGCCCAGCCTGGCTCTCCCACTAATCCAGTTTACATGCAGGCCAACAGGTGTTGTAGCCCTGCACAGCCTGGTCTGCCCCAGTCACAGTTCTCATGCTCACCAATGGGAGCAGTGGCCCAGCAGGGGAGCCCCCTGCAGCCCCTCTATTGGGTTTGCATCGTCCCCCTACCCCACCCTCAGGTCTCATGTGTGCTGGTGGGTGCTGCAGCCCAGTATGGCATAACCTTCTCACCTCAGCATTTGCCAGTGGGTGTTATAGCCTGGCCTGGCCTGGTCTGCCCCCAGTACTTGCTCATACTGGTGGGTGCTGCAGCTTAGCCCCGCCCAACCAGCCCCCAGTCCTAATGTGAACTGGCTGGTGTTGCTGCCTGACCTGGCCTGTCCGCACCTCGTCCTGGTTCTCAGATCTGCCAGTGGGTGCTATGAACTGGCCCAGCCTGGCCTGCCCCAGACCTGAGCTGTACATCTGTTGGTGGGTATCATAACCTGGCCTGGTCTGGGCTACTCCTTGCCTTGATTCTTATGCTCACATGCAGGGACTGCGTCGTAACAACAGAGTTCTCCAAGCTCCTCTCTCAGTTCTCCTTTCAGTGGCAGATCTGGTACACATTGGTGGGTCCTTGGCCTAGACTGACGTAGTCTACCTCCTGTCCTAGCAGGAAAGTGGCCTTACCCATCCGCCTCACTCCCATTCCAGTTCTTACTGTTGGGTATCACCGTCCAGCCGCACCTGGTCAAAACACAAGCACAGCTCTCACATGGTTCGGCAGGTATTGAGATCTAGGCCAGACCATCCTACACCCTCCTTGGCTCTCTGAACACCAGTGAGTACTGGAGTCAAGCCCAGTCTGGCATACCCCAGATATAGTCCACATCCATGCCAAGGACCACTACAATCATGTCCAGCCCAGATTGCCACCCCTGTTTCACCTCTTGTGCTTACCAGCAGGAACCACAACCAGCCAGGATGTTCCTTTAGCTCCTCAACCAGTCCTGTTCATAGCTACAGATCTTGCATGTGCAGTTTCTCTAATCCAGCTCAGCATAGCCCATCATCTGTCTTTGCCTTTGCTATGGGATACTGCAGCCTATCCTGTCCTAGCCCGTCCCCAAGTCTCAACCTTTGTTAGAGGGTACCAGCCTAGCCCTTCCCCATCTGCTCCCACCCCTGGCTCATGTAAAGCAGTAGGTATGATATGCATGACTTGCACTGCAGCCTGGTTCCTACACATGCCTATGGGCTAAGGTTGGTCCATCTCACTTGTTCTACCTCCCTCTAGAACCAATTCACACACTTGCCAACAGGTGCAGCTACCTTGCTCAGTCTGACCCATTCCCAGGCCTAAATCACGTACTCACTAGGGGAAACTACATTACACCATGGGAGTTTCCCTACCATGCCCCTTCCCAGACCCAGATCCCACAAGTGCCAGTGGGTGTCAGGCCTTTACCAAGCATAGTCTGCCCCTTTGTCCTGGCCTTTGTATGAACTGGTGGATGTTGAGACCCAGCTTAACACGTACCATTTTCTTGGGTGTGCCAGCAGTTGCTGCTGTCTGGAGCATCTTGATCTGTTCCCAACCTCAGTACCCATGAGTGTTGGAGGGTTCCATGGTCATGCCTAACTCAGGCCTTTGGCACCCCCAGCTCTTAAGCAAACCAGTGGAAACTGCAGTTCCACAGGAGTGGGCCCACATATCCCCTATAGAATCTGCCCCCCAGACCCAGTTCTCTTATGTGCTCATTAAGGTCACGGCCCAGCCTAACATTTCCCATCCCTTGTTCCAACTCTCATTGACAGGTTCTGCGGTCTAGCCCTGCCACTTAGGTCCCCAGCTCTAGATTTAGTGTACCCCTGTTAGTAGTGTGGTCTGTGGTGATCCATGCTAACTAGTCCAGCTCAGATCTCCCATGTGGATGGGTTCATCAGTCTGACACATAAAGGTCCTCTCCAAACTGGTTGGTCTCAGCCCCCTTGTTTACCTGCAAGTACAGTGGCCTTGTGGATGTAAGTCCTTCAGAAGTCATTTCTCACCTTCAAATCCTTCAACAGTCCTTCCTCCCATACATCCCCTTGCCCTTTTCCCTGATCAATCCACTGTCCCTGTGCCTGGGAGTGCATAGGTTTCACCAGCACACCCTTCTGAAGCCCAGTCTTCCAGTGGGGTGGTATGCTGGCCTGGAGCTTTGCCTGTCCACTAGACTCCCAAGCTCAAGGCACGTGTGCTGAACTGGGACCTTACCCCTCCACACACCCAAGATCCAGACTCATTTAAAGTTCCCCAAGTCCAGCCCACCACCAGGCCAGCATGCTAATTTAGGGCTCTCCCCACACTGCCTGGGACTAATCATGTGGGGAAATACCCAGGCTTGCTCCACCTGCCTGGACGTGAACCCCCAGGTCCCCAGATAGAGTAAACCACCAGCAACCATCCCCTGTCCTCATAGACAGGCTTTTCCAAAGGTGGGAGACATTGAGCAAAGAAGGGATCTAGAGTTATGTGGGCCCTGTCTCAACAGGCAAGTGATTTCTCAGTGTATTTCCCATTCTCCCATACTAGGTTTTGTAACTAGGAGAAAGCCGTTAGGAAAACAAGAATGAGTCAAGGCAGAGGCCATCCTATCCCTGTGGGGAAACTGGAGGAGGGGAATCCACGTGGAGAAGACATGGGTGGTACCAGGACTTGACCAGACTAATGCAAGGCTTGGGAAATAGCTGGGGAGGCCGCATATGGAGGACTCCACGGATCTAGTCTTGACACAGCAATAAGCCAGAAATAAGGTCAGACTGAAAGAAGATTGTTCAGCTAAGATAATTATTTAAACAAATCAATTACATAGGCATTAAAATGTATACAAGAAGTCATTGTGGAAAAAAAAATCATGGGAAAATTTGAGAAGTTGGTACAAAGAAGGAGGGATGGATACTTCAGTGATAAGCAGCCTTACTCTGGGTTCATCCCAGCTTATTACTTTGTCAGCTTCTGCCCTTGTGCCACCAGGCTGTGACCTTTCCCAGAAATTGGACCTGCGTGGTGGAGGCACAGCTCTTTCTTCTACCTACCCTGTCACTTTCTACTTCAGTTTCCTGTTCCTGAGGTCTAGAATCTTCCTCTAATGGTTCCTCAGCAGAAAGTCTTTGCTCCTGCTTCCTCTGAGACTCATTCCCTACAGTTCTCATTTCTCTGAATCCCAGGTGTGTGAGACCAAGTGTCATGTCCAATCAATGAAACTCCTGCTCTTATACCTGATCTGTTCTTTGAATATAAAGTGGAAGTTGCTATTCTTCTACTGAGATGACAATTGGGGTACGTTTTTCTGAGACAGGAGATCACCCACTGGGAAGCAGTGGGCCAGGTGGTGCGGGGAGGGAGGGGGCTGCATCCGCTTCCGGCCCAGGTTCCTTGAAGGTGCTCCCAGGTACATGATGTGGAACATGAGTACCGCCACAAGGAGCTAGGAGAGGCAGGCCAGGGACACTTGCTTACTTGGCAGACGAGCTCCATTTTATAAAGCAAAACTAGATCCATGATGTCATATTATATATATATATATACACACATATATATATATGTGTGTATATATATATAATGCTATTTTATACTACTTTTCTTCTATGCTTTCAGTAAATTCTTGTTCACATATTTCAATTTTTACATGAGCTGTTGAACAGCAGCAGAAAAATATTTTTGTCTCCAAACTGCAGCCCAGGTAGCAGAGCAGTGCGTCTTCACACTATTAGGCAATCATTCAGAAAACTGTGGGGGCAAAGTCAGTCTCTGGTCCTGAGAATGTTCTGGTCCTCCCCAACACTTGCGCCCGCACTGCCAGCCCGGAGACCTGGCTTCAGGTAATCAGGGAAGCAAGGCTCGGTCCTGTCTGCTCCAGGGCTGGCCTGGGACGTGGGCAGGCCCTCCTGCCTGTGAACTTGGGGAGATTATGCGACACCTCCAATGAAACAAGACTGATACACCATTTCGCATCCCCTGGGACCCCTCTGTGTCTGCCCAACACCTGCGGAAGCGTTCCCTGTCAGTGACTGACAGGGAAGAGTTGTGGAGTTGCTGCTATCCTGAACACAGAGCTGTGGGGGCTTTCACCCGCACAGTCCCCGGGGAGTCATCTGGAGGCTCTAGTCCCTCTTTGCTCCCTTAGTCCCCGCTGATGTCCAGCTAAGAGGCTCCCTCCCTTTTTCTCAGTCTCCTTTACTCTGGTTCACTAGATCTTTTTGTGTCTGAAGCTCTTGTACATATGCACACATTCACATTTCTGCCCTACTTTCAAAAACACACTCTTTTTAAAGCCATCTAACAGGCTAGCCGTGACTTCCAAGCTTTTAAATATTTTTTTTTCAGATTTCATTTCCAAAGCATCCTTGATTACCAAATTCCCAAATTAGTATCAATTAAAGTCAGGCTACTTAATTGCTCTGTTTAAGAGTGATAAGCCACAGAACCCTCAGGTCTAGCGGCAACTTTTTGGCTTGCCTGCACCAGTGCTAACCCAGTGGTCGGGAGGGCCTGGGCGACTGCCCGGGTCTACGTTTGCTGCCCCTCTGCCCCCTGGTGCTGTGGGTGGCTCCGCTCTTGCAGCTCTTCTTCTTCTAATTCTTGACTCTTCAATTCCTCCTCTAACTGTCTATAATTTTGAAGGTAGGAGGTTATACTCTTCACGGGACCAGAAGACATAGGGATGTGTAAATTCTGCTTCTTCATTCTTTGTAGTTCTTTACGTATCATTGAACAGAGAAAGGCGCTGAAGAAGATTAACATTCCAATTGCCAGAAACAAAAGTACACGAAACCAGACACGAGATGGTGACCGGGGGGCTGAAACAGGAAAGGACGAAGAGAAGAACAGCATTCTGTTAGGACGAGAAGGTAGGCTGGGCCCTGATGTGCCTACTCATGATGGAGGCCCTGGGCATTTCTGGGACCTAGGGGGAGATGCAGTGGGCTGCGGTGTACAGGGATGGGGCAGGCCTTTGTGAATCTAACCTACATGGGTGCACCCCAGGAGAGTTACTCCCTGGTTTCACAGAAAGTGCCATCTCTGTGACATTTACACTCAAAATGAGTTTGAGTTGAAGATTAACCCCTTGTTGGGGTGTTCCCATCCCTTGGCATCTGCCAGAGACCCTTGGGCAGATGGTTAAGCACAGCCCACACAGTTGCATGCTCATAAATACAGCCTGAGTGCTTCAAACCAAAACCTGTAGGCCAGGGCCTTCATTGCCCCTGACCCAGGACCATCAACAGACAAAATCCTCCTGGAGAGAGAATTGGTGAGGGAGAGGTAGGATGCAAGGAGCAGAGGAAAGAGAGCAGAGGACAGGGCAGGATGGAGTGTGGAAAGAACCCAGGAGAGGGGGAACAGAAACTGAAGGAGAGAGGAGGAGGAAGAAAGAGGAGGGAAAAGCATTAGGAAAGAAATGGAGCAGACAGGGAACAGAAAGAAGCACAATAGACGCTCTGAGAAGGGCCAAGTCCTGAATCAAGGGTGGGAAGCCTAGCTGTGAGCTTTTCTTGGAGAGCGTCTCTCCTCCCACCTGCACCCTGAAGCTCCCCAGATCCACGGGAGGAGAGACGGCCTGCCTTCTCCTGAGCTGAGGCTCTCAGGGTCATTACTCACCAACCACTTGCACCTGCAAGGCAGGGCTGCGCTTCACGATTCTTTCATCCTCTGTGGCTGCCTCGCACCAGTAGGCGCCAGAATCCTCCTGCCCAGCCTTTGGGATCTGGTATTCTGAGGACGCGTTCCTGTCCTGCAGGGTCTTGTTGCCCACGTAGAAAGAGAAGACAAGGCTCAAAGCAGGCTGCCCGGGGACCAACTTGGTTTCACAGCTCAGTGTCAGCGGACTCCCCTCCAGGATGGGGAATGGCAGGGATGCCCTCAGCACCGGAACTGGGAACAGCTCTACAGAGACAGTGGGTGGGGAGAGAGGTAAGTGGGACACTGGAAGCCACAGCACCCTTGAGAGCCAGGCGGACAATAATAGGAGCAGTTTCTAGTGTCTTTCCTGTTTCTGTCTCAATGGATCTTATGTCAGACCTAAATTATTCTCCTAGCTATGTTGAGTTTCTGTTCCTTGCTGCTACAATAAAATGGATGAAAGGGATCTCAACCACCCTGATTAATGAGGCCTTGTAATCCATTGGGTAGAGCAAAGACTGGGAGCCAAGACCTCAGTTTTGGTTCCAGCCCAGCCAGTAGTCATGTGTGGCCTTCAGCAGGTTGCTTTTCTGCCCTGGAACTCAATTTCTTCCCTTGTAATAGGAAATGGGGAGTGTAGGTGGTTTGTGATTGTCCTTAAGGGGCCTTACAACTGCAACTGCGTAAGTACTCAGACACAGTACCTTTTACAGTAACAGATACTGTTGCTGATGTGTAACGATGCCTTCCCATGGCTGAACAGTAATAAATGCCATTATGACTCAGGTTGGCTTTTGGAATGGTCAATTCAGAATCCTGAAAAGAAAACTTAAATGTTGTGTCATTGTGATAGAAAAGCAGCTTGCGCATCACTGAGTTCTTCCAGCTGTGACATCGCAAGGTCAGTGGCTCCCCTTCAGTGAAGACTCTGCCAGAGACCTGGAGCAGCAGCCAATCTGAAAAACCCAAAATGTAGGAACCATTCATGAATAATAAACGAAACACTCCGAGGCATCTTCCAACACGTGCATATCCACATGTTAGCATAGTATAGGTGACAATTCTGTCCGTTTTCTTTCAGTACCATTTGTAACAAGCAAAATAAAGCAAAAAGTCCAATAGTTTATTAAAAGAATGGAAAATATATACAATTTAAACAAGATTGAGCCTAAATAAACTGTAATTTCTCAACTGGCATGAATTTCAAATTATAATTTTAGAGGAAAAAAATTAGCCAGTCACTTACATTAAGTCCAAAAATAGGTAAACCCAAAGACAGTAAGTCACTGCCAGGGAGATATGGGCCAGAAAGAAGAATTGGAAGTGTTGTGTTTCCTGATTGGGGTGCTGCTGTGAGATGTACACTTCAGATTTGCAGTGTAAGTCAGATTCAGTTTGAATTTCTGCTAAATATAATATCAGAAAGATAGCATTCTTAATGAGCCATCAGCATTAACAGTCCTTGAGTCTATGCAGAGGTAAGGAAAATGGCCTGCTCTTTCTCTTGAGCAGAAAGATACTTTTCCCTGAAGAATATTTCAGTCTCCATTACTTGACAAATAAAACTACATACAGATCTCAGTGCCTGATAACATTTCATTCGTTTTCTTTTCCTCCTACTGGCTCACAGTAATTCCATGCCCAGGGCATTAGGAAATGTTCCCAAGACTACACGCACAGAAATGGAAAACTTGGAGGCTTTCTAACAGGCAGGCTTATGGTGCAGCTACAGGTGACGCCTTCAGAAAGCTCATGAATCATTTGTATTAACTTTTAATTCTATTTCTCAATAAGTGTCTTAAAACCTCATATAGCCGACATTTAAAACACACCTCTATGGATATAAACAGACTTTCTTTTTATGCAATCAATTGTAAAACGAAGAAGAGAATATATGCTACAAACCAGTTTTTCAAAAGTTTAAGTTTGCTTGGTGAGAGGGAGAATTTTCTGTTCACTGTGCATTTGCCTGAATTGCTGCTATTGTCTACAGGAGCACATTTTCAATAACGATGCAATTGTAGGTCCTGAGGTTTGCTCTAGATGCTTCATTCACATCTGACCCAGCTGAGGCTCGTGACATTATGAGTGCATTGGTTTTATTTTACCTGATAGGCACATGGCGTTAATGAGTTCACACCGGCATCCAGCACGGACAAAACGAAGGAAGAGCTTGTAATTCCAGACCCTACCCCATGCCTCTCTTACCTCTGTGCACGCCCAGCTGCACCGGCTCGCTTGGTACAGAGAGTCCCGTCTGGCAAGTGTATTCCCCAGTGTCATTGGCGAGGGCATTCGTGATGCTGTGGCTGGGGGACGAGGTCTGAAGAGCTGTGCCGTTGAGGAACCACCGGGTGGCGCTGTCCCCAGGCGCACGCGGCCCCGCACACCTGAGAGTCACTGCTTCCTCTTGGAACACATCGACCCACGGGGGGTGCAAGGTGACCACTGCCTTCGTGGGGTCTGCTGGGCGAGAGATCAGAAGCAAAAGCCGACAAGGGGAGCGACAGGAAGGGCGCTGCAGTGCTGGTCTAGTTTGGTGGCCAGCAGGGGAGAGAATGAGCAGTCAGGGTCAGTGGAGAACCCGGGCAATGCATGCTGAGCCTGCTGCTGGGAGCTCTCCAGCCCTCAGTCTGGGTGCTAGGGCTCTGGGGTTCCCGCAGGCCCCCTTGCCGTCAGCCAGGAGACAGGATTTGGAGGTGGGCCCGGCTGGAGCCGCTTGTCTCAGCCTCCTGTCGTCCTGACCCGGTGGGCAGAGCACAGACCTCCACTAGTGTCCTCGTGGAGCCTGTTGAGATTCCTCCCTTGGCTCCTTCAGTACCTGCGTGGCCGGCTTCCAGGGGAAAAGCCAGCTTAAGGATTCTTGTAAAAGGAACAACGTGAAACATGTTGGAAAAGCCAGCAGAGGTGGTTTGTTTGTTTGAGCTGTGGTTTTATGTTCATTTATCTTGCACTCCAGCCACTTTTGAGTATATATTCCTGAAGTCACAGCTCAGTCAGCACATGTTAGCAACTTATGTTAGGAATTAGGGTTTTATGCAACAACATCTGAATATGGACATTTTTACATCATCTGGAATCCTTCCCTTTTCTATCCTGATCCTCGTGCCGCAGGCTAAAGGGACCCACAAGGTAGGAAGGCAGCGTCGGACAGGTAGGGTTAGACATCACTCACCCTGTTGCCCACCAACTGGAACTGCCAGAGACCAGAGAACAGAGATGTCAGCCAGTCAGCAGGAGACGACCAGGAAGGGAGAATTGGGGAGGCAGAATTAATGTCGGATCTGAGATGCCAGCTTGACTCTCTCAGGTTTCTCCCTGTGCTCCTCCTCCCAAATCAGTTGCCAGCAGAACAGGACGACCTCCAGGTGCTCAGTGACAGCTCGCTTTGATGTGAGGTTTCCTGCTGCAGTGCTGGTTTGGGGTCTTCCTTCCCATCCCTATCCCCACCAGTGATGCCTGCGACCACCGACACAGCCATCTCCTAGTTAGGAGTTCAGGCCGAACACACCAAAAGGACAAACCCTTGGCTCGGCTGAGCCAGACCAGGGCCCTTCCAGCCCCACTCGGAGCCCGACTTACCCCACAGGAGTAGGGCCAGCCAGAGCCACATGTTATCTCCCTGATGCGAGGGTAATGAACTCTGCAACACAGAATCAGTAAAGAGCTGTGTTAGGGGCTCTGGGTTCAAGGTTTCTGGCCAGTGTACACATGTTCATCTGTCCACCTAACTCTCTGGCTACAGAATTTATTAGTGCATTAAAAATTTAGAATGCTTCACTTAAAATGGAAGAATACATATTCAGCTCAGAGACTTGATGGTTGATTAAAAAAAAAATCCCACATTGAATGTTACGCATGGAAAGCCAACAACGGAATCCTTAGTCACTCTTATTATAGTGGCTCTAAAACAGAACACTCACTCCTTCTTAAGGAAAAGTAGCTATTTCCTTGCCCAAGGCTGAGACTCACTGGGAAAGGGTGGTCCCTGGGATCCAGCCACAGGGCATCTTCAAAGCAGGGACAGCATCCCTGTTGACTTGGGCCTGGGTACAAGTGGACGTTATCCTGTGGCCTTGCTCTTCCACACATTGGAACATGAAGAGATTCAAGCTATGAACTATAAAGCATGTTACAGATCATCTTGGCTAACACAATCCAAATTTCCCATGTTTGTAGCTAGCCCTTTTCTTCATTTACCTTAATAGATGATCAGAACCACACAGGCAAAGCATGTTTATTCTGGTGATGGCTATGTAAGATCCAGTTAGATTCCATTATTAACATTGAAAATTACAAAGCAGGCTGTATTTATGTTCATGTCCTGGGAAAGCAGTGGAGAATGGGCCAAGTCCCTGGGACCCTACACCCAGAGACCCAGAAGGAGCTGCTAGATCCTAGCTTTGAATTGGCTCAGCTCTGGCCACTGTGTCTATTTGGGGAGTGAACCAGTGGATGGAAGATCTTCTCTCTGTCTCCCCTTCAGTCTCAGTAAAAATATGCCTTTCAAGTGAAGACAAATACATCTTCAAAAACATAAACAAATAAAATGAATTATTCTTCTATTGCCCATTTCTCTGAACAGTGGTGAGTCCACCTTGTTAGAGGCACCATTCTTTATGTCCTCAACACACACACACACACACACACACACACACACACACACACACACAAATAGATGACCTGGAGCCAGTGTTTGGCAAAGTGACACAGTACCCCTGTGGGCACTGGTGTGAGTCTCAGCTGCTCCACAGCTAATCTAGGTTCCTGTTAGTGACCTGGAAAAGCAGCAGAGAATGGTTCAAGTTCTTGCGTCCCTGCATCCACATGGGAAACCTGGATGGGGATTTGCCATATAAAATTTTTCTTCTCATTTTGAAACAATCATACCTTAAGACACATTTTTTAGAAATTTTATGATTTATATGAAAGGCAGAATTACTGACAGAGAGATCTTTCATATATTGGTTCACTTGCAAAATGACCATAAGGGCTGAGCTAGGCCACGCCTAAACCAGGAGGCTGGAATCCTGTTTGGGTCTCCCATAGCAGAGAGCCGGATTGGAAGTGCAATCAGAGTTACAGAGAGAGGGACACACAGTGATACAGAGATCTTCCTTCTACTGGCTCACTCTCAAACTGGAATCCCACATGGGTGGCAAGACTACTAGCAGGGAGTTGGAGCAGTGCAGCAGCCCAGATATGAACAGGTGCCCATAGCAGGTAAATGCAAAGGAATCTTTTTAAGATTTGTTTATTTTGGGCCTGGCACGGTAGCCTAGCGGCTAAAGTCCTCGCCTTGAACGTGCTGGGATCCCATATGGTCACCAGTTCTAATCCCAACGGCCCTGCTTCCCATCCAGCTCCCTGCTCGTGGCCTGGGAAAGCAGTCAAGGACAGCCAAAAGCCTTGGGCCCCTGCACCCACATGGGAGAGCCGGAAGAGCTCCTGGCTTCAGATTGGCGAAGTACCGGCTGTTGCAGTCACTTGGAGAGTGAATCATCTGATGGAAGATCTTTCTCTCTGTCTCTCCTCCTCTCTGTATATCTGGCTTTGCAATAAAAATATTTTTTTAAAGATTTATTTATTTTTATTTGAAAGGCAAATTTTCTTAGAAATTGTATAAATCTGAACGCTCCAGCTCATAAGCCCGAATAGCCAAGTTGAGGTTTTGTTAAGACCCCACAGAGCTTTACACTGGGTCTGGAAGGGCTTTTGTCAGAGCTCACAGTCCAGCTGCCACAGCCATAACTGACTAGCCGTCCTTCTCTAATAGGTTTATCCTTCGAAGCAGCCACCATTGTTTTGGCTCTGGCTTTTTTCTAAGGTGCCAGGCTGGTGTGGCAGAGAAACAGAAGCTGGCTCTGGCAGTTCCCAGGCAGAAAACCAGAAGGGCAAGAGGAAGGAGCCGAAGACAGCAGTTAGTTACTGGGGCTGCAGCCACACCAGCTGCCGAGGTCACCAGGTTTGCTTTAGCTGCTTTCCTTTCTCTCTCTTTTTCTCTCTGTCTCTCTCTCTTTCTTTCTAAAGATTAATCTATCTATCTATCTATCTATCTTTCTATTTATTGGAAGTCAGACATACAGAAAGGAGGAGAGACAGAGAGGAAGATCTTCCATTCACTGATTCACTCCCTAAGTGGCTGCAGTGGCCGGAGTTAAGCTGATCTGAAGCCTGGAGCCTGGAGCTTCTTTTGGGTCTCCCATGCAGGTGCAGTGTCCCAAAGGCTTTGGGCTGTCCTTGACTGCTTTCCCAGGCCACAAGCAGGGAGCTGGATGGGAACCAGGGCTGCTGGGACACAAACCAGACCCCGTTTGGGATCCTGGAGCATGCAAGGCGAGGACTTTAGCCGCTAGGCTGCCATGTCGTACCCCAGTTGCTTTCTTTAGTTTCAAGACAGTCGCATTCATTTTTTACAGGATGCAATCTTATTATTTTCCCTCTAGGGTGCTCCTAAGTACCACTCAAAACTAAACATCCAGCTCTAGGTGCTTAATTTTCTTGCCAGCTTTTTAAATTGCATACACAGAAATACCAGTTTAAAGTATCTGGTCTTAGCCATTTTAAGGTTGAAAATATTTATAACCCCTTCTATTGAAAAAGATACTTGCAGGAAAACAGACAAAGATGCCTGCAAGCTTGAGCGTCACAGGTGTTGCACCTGAAAGTGGAATGTTGGCAGGTGAGCAGGTGTCCCAGAAAGTTTAGTTTTGGATGTTTCTCTCTCTTTTTTTTTTAAGATGATCTATTTTTATTGGAAAGTCAGATTTACAGAGAGGTGGAGAGACAGAAAGACCTTCCATCCTTTGGTTCTCTTCAAGTGGCTTTGGCTGATCTGAAGCCAGGAGCTTCTTCCAGGTCCCAAGGCTTTGGAGTGTCCTCTACTGCTTTCCCAGGACACAAGCAAGGAGCTGGAGTGGAGCAGCAAGGATATGAACAGGCGCCCTCATGTGATCCCGGCACATGCAAGATGAGGACTTTAGCCACTAGGCTATGGTGTCAGTTGCCAGGCTGATACCTAGTTTCTTATTTTGGCACAGGGAAAGATACGGTCTAAAACTTTGAAAGTGGTGGATTAAGAGTGCCATTTTGAGCCGTGTCTCGGTTTCTTTTCCTGGCTGTGTAGTGACTTGGGGACTCATAGTCCTGGTGACCAGCCTTGAGCATGCTTCCTAGCTGTGCCAGCTTACACTTATGGTTAGGGGAGCCTCATGGCAGTTAATCTGAGATACTGCCTTGAAAGCTTCCGGTCACCTGGACGTGCTAAGAATGCAGCAGAGGGAGCAGAACATTCTTGAGCTGGTAAACTAAACTGGTAAACAAGAACCCTCATTCAGGTCTCACATTTTTTGTCTCCTTCAGCCAGAATTTAAGACTTTGTTCAAAGGTCAGAATGCTTCCCTCCCTAGTGCCCTTTTAACAGAAGGGATAACCTGGTATTAGTTCATGATAAGCTAGGTCCACAGTGGCTGTAATCTTAGGGTAAAGATGAACTAGAAATGAAACTCCCCTTGGGCAATACCCCGTAAACTCAGCGCATCTTTCACAGCTTTGACTTGGTTAATCATGTCTCTTGGCCAGGAGTGGCTCTAGGTGCCCGCGGGAACGCCTTCCCTCTAGGTCTCAAATTATTCCAAGAATGTTTTTCTAAACACATGCTCCAAGATAACAACAAATGCAAACAAACTCAGGTATCCATGAAAACCAGCAGACACATCTGAAAATAAAGGCTCACCCCTCCTAGAGATATTAGAGTTCTAGAAAAGACTATGCAATATAATGATGCCTCCATGGTTTGTGAAGAAAAAAACATGAAAAATTTTAAAAATGGCCACTAAGAGATTTTCTTTAGCTTTAAATAAACATTCAGGATTACAAGACTCTCAAAGGATACACTTGGTGCTGGTCTAATCACAAAGACATAGCAGAAGAGCTAAGCTTGCCAGCAGCTAACATCAGCCTTGACTCCTCTGTGGGAATATTCCAGGCAGCAGTTAATGAAACAATCCATACAGTCTTTAGGCCATTTTGTCTTGTTTCTCCACCCGACAGACTCGCTGTTCGGCACCCTCTGCCCTTGGTGACAGCTGAAGTGAATGTGTAGGCTACATGACTTAGAAATCCCCCCAGAAGTCATCGTCATCTGTAAGAATGTACTAGCATGGTCATCAGCGTCCTTGCAACGTGCGTGCAAGCTACAGGTGTTTCTGAGGTCAGAAGCTCAACATGTGGCTCCTCGCCAGGTATTTGTGCAATTGTCATCACGTACAGTGTCGCTCAGTACCATGACTGCTTCATCCTTTGAAGGGCTCAGAAATACAAAAGATGTTAGTTACAAGTCAAATTACCATGCCCAAAGGGGGGGAGAATCCTGTAAACAAATTGGAAACTATAGCAAATGGCAGAATAGATTTAGAGAGATCACACAGAAATTTTGAAAAAATAATAACTGAAGTTATGAACTCAGTAGAAGAGTTTATCATAAAGCAGTCAAGGCTGAAGAAAGAAGGAGAGAAGTGAGAGCTGGGGAGGAAGGAGAAAAAAACAGAGTGTACAGTTAAGAAAAAAAGGAAGATTAAACACTCAAATGCAATTAAAAATATAATTGCCTTGCTGTGAGTGTCTGAAGTCAAAGAAAGTTTCGCTGTGACAGTCATTAATTCCCAAGAA